GCGCAACGAATTTCCAACACTTTTCCAATTATCCCTTGCAGCCAGTCTTGAACGCCGGTTGGCACGTAACTGCAATTATGTAGATGCAATATTTAGATCAAAGTGTTCCAGCTTAACGCATCGCTAGGCGCACTTACTGGTATTTTATGAGGTTGCCGAGTTGCGGGGAGAAGAGCAGCGCAATGGTTTCAAGCAAACTCCAGGCATGTGGCAAAAAGAGATTCTCAACAAGTTGCGTAAAGTCCGAATTGGTATTGGTGAGTGCAGCACCGTCAAGGCCATAGGCGGCCGAAGCAACCACATCCAGTGTGTACTTGGAGAAAAGCTGCGGAATTCACAACAAACAGATGCTGGTGTTCATACATTTATACACAAACGAGTACATACATATGTATGTGGGAATGCACATGCATTAATAATTAAGATGTGTAATATTTATGTGCTTTGTTCATTTATTAAAAAGTAGTTTTTACCCGCGGGTTTCAACCCACGGCTTTATACAGATATGAAAAATATTTTATGTAAAGACGTTATATTTTATTTCTGCTCTAATTTTACTATAGAAGAATACGGAAGGACAGTTTCTCTATGCCTATAACCTTTCCGGGGTAAAAAACAAATAATTGTGCAAAGTTTCGTGCTATTCCGTGTCGCGGTTCAAAACTTATAAGGTGGTAAACAAACAGACATTCACATTTGTATATATGTATATAGATTTACTTGATATATTTACATACATCCTTTCCTTCAAAGCAATTACTTGAGTTGAGTATGTGTAGCGATACATATGCGTCTAGTTTTTCACAGATTGATTTGATGTGGTGAAACGACGCTTTGACCTGGAAGTGAAGATTTATTTAAAGTTAAATAGCAGATTTTATCTTTCAAATATTGAAAAATAGGAACATGCAATATTTAGCGCTCTATCGATATTTATAGTCCTTTTATAATGTTGTTCTTAAATATTTTTGAAAATTTGCAATAAGTATTTTTGAAAAATTGTATACTTAGGACTAATATACACACGACCACATCCTCAAATTTTGCCCTTCCAACTTTATTAGTTTAGAAAAATAAAATTATTAAAAAGAATATTTTCAATGCCTATTGGTCCTTATCAACAAAAAGGCTGATTTTTTTTTTTAACTTTACTGAAATTTCTCTTTCATTTGGCACCCAAATTATTTTTCCACATTGCACTAAATATTTTTAAATATTTTTTTTGGATAAATCATATTTTTGAAAGACCTTTTAAAAAATCCTAACGTCAGAGAGAAAAACTAAAAACGCAGCATTAAGGCTAAAAGGAAACGTTTTCTGCTCGACGGTTTAAAATTAGTTTTTAATGGCGGGTCTTTTGTGTATATATTTACAATATTGTATATATGTACATAAGCAAGGGATGCGATACAAATTTAGGTTTTTTAATCCACCAAGGGGCCGTGGAGATATGGCGATAAGGAAAAGTGGGTCGCCAGTTGGACAAGGTTTCGAACCACTCATATAAAGCATAAGTTTCAGTATATATTGGAACATTTGTGCTATACATATCTATATCGCGACTTCTTAAAACGGAATTTCAAAACTTTGAATCTAGGCATCAGGATTGGCAGTGTGGCAAGTTGTGCATCACGAAGAATATTTGCAGAAGAATCGTAAACCCTCTTAAAGCAACAATAACTATATTTCACCAGGTAACTAAAACTAAAGTATGGAAAGCTCTACCATGTGTAGCTTCTAGTATTACCAGTATTTAAAAATTATTTGTATGCATAAAATAGTCATGATCGCAAAAAAAATACCTCCCTCTAGGATTATTTGAAGAGCCTGAAATGATAAAAGTCGTAGCCAAGTTCGCCCAATGCCCCGGTTATAACATAACTTCGAGAAAAACTTTATCAGAAGTTTCGATTCCCAAAGTTAAAAGCAAAAATTAAAAGTGAGCTACATGAAGCGTTTGCGGTGTTCTTGATTACCGATGGCTGGACATGTTCTACCAACACAAGTTATATTGATCTTAGAGCTCATTATATTGATAAAAAGAAAACAAAAGGTTTTGTTCAGCTCCTATGTATTGCAAAGAGTCTATATAGTATTTTAGGTGATGTGAAATATATTGAATTAGTCAGGTGGTATGGATTTAAATTTAATGGAAGTGGATCTTGGGCGGGGTTCTGGTGGGCTATGGGCGAAGCCCCATAAAACGAGGAAAATTTTTTCACTTATTTCTTGCTTTGACTATATTTCCTATACTGTTCTTTCGTTTGTTGTCTGTAGATGATAAATTCTCCCTATTTTTAAACAATTTCCTAGAGTCTATAGAACGGGGTTGAGGGGGCCATACCTTTCCCGCTTACCCATCACACCAAAACCATGAAAAAAATAATTAATCATTTCTGTACTTAACTAAAAAGTACTGGTACATTCAAATGATTTGAACTAAAATTTACTACACTTCCCAACTTTACAGCGAACCGCGCTGAATTAAAGAAATGCATACAAATTTGCAATCGTAAAATGAATTTAAACTCTGTGCAACGTTCATTCAAATCCGGCATTCACAGCGAATTACGCTACGTGACTGGCAACGGGCCATTTGCCGTACAACATCTACTTTAATTATGTTAAAGATGTGCATTCCACCAGCTGGCGTAAAAACGAAAGTCCCATTAACAAGAATATATTAACAGCAAGAACTTAATCTATGCAAATATTCAGTAAGTCAGTCTCATCTCAAGTCACTCAATTTGAGAATATAAGTTAGTGACTCTTTTTAACCGGCTTCAGAAAAAGGAGGAGGTTATCAATTCGTGAACGGTTTTTGATATCGTTTTTTTATTGGAAAGACTGTACCTCAAGGGTGGTGGCATACTAATTTAGTTTAGATCCGATCTTGGATCATTAAGAAACGGTACTCCCAAATTTGTATATGAACATTGAAGTCGGTTGTTTCTTGCTTAAAAATGACTTATTGTGCATTGGGATGGTTTGCGTATTCCGTAAAAGCAAGTCGCAAAATGTTCCGCAAAAATACATAGTTATGTGGTGGAAACAAACAGAGACAGTCAGCTGATTAGTATGTAGCAGGTTCTAAATGCGCGCTTCTCCAACAGTCGCAGTTGCAGTCGAGTGAGCAAAGCAGTAGCGTGTCATTTTTATTATTGTTGTTTTAATTATTCAAATAAAATTCTCTCTTAATGTTTACATTAACATTATTTTACAATTACATTATATTTTGCTTTCATTTAATTTTTATGATGTTTAAGTATTTAGAATAATTTCCATATGAAATTGTTGTTAAACAAATATTTCCTAGCTTAAATTATCTGTACCTCCATATTTTTTTTATTTTTGATACCTGGTCAAGTATATACTGCTTACTGAATACCGGCATTATTTTATTTTTTTTGTCATCAGCCGATGTACATGCAGAACGCGCTATAAAGAACTTCAATTCCATGCTGCTTCGTTTATTTTTTTTTTAATTCAATAGCTTTTAAAAATAATCCTTGAGATAACGTATAAAATTTATTAAGCTAAAGAAATTTAATAAATCGAAAGGCAGAATTTAAGGTCTGAAAAATCAAGAAAGTGCGTCTCCCAAATAATCAGCATAGAAATGAGTTTGCTGTCTTTCTTTGAGTTATAAGTTCAAAAAAAAATAATAACATGATATTGTTTTAAAGCGTTTTGGCCAGTATCTCTTACCCATTTCAGAAAAAAACTAAGATATAAATTGTGCATTGTGATCCATCAAGGGCTACATAAAAAAGTCTGACGAAAAAGCAAATTCCAATGTAAAAAAATATATTTTCATAAAAATTTGTCACTCATATATTATTTTTTTTTAAGAATTTTAGCTCAAAACATTTTTATCTTATATATTATAAAAATATAAATGAGGCAATTATAAAAATTGTTACTACAAAAAAAATATTTTATTATTTGTTAATTTTCAACTTTTGGTAGATTATTTTTGGTATTTCATAGGAATATAGAATATATGGTTGTATTATTTTAAAAAATAAAGATATTTTTCTTAAAAGGTATCGTTTCCAAATTCGGGCTAAGTATTGTAGTTTTTAGGCATTTCTGTTTTGAAATAATTTTAAAAAGCATACAAAAAAATTAAAATGAAAACAAACCTTTTGGGAAAAATGTTTCCTTTTTTACTGAAAGGGTTTAATAAAGCAACTGTTTTCATCAGAGTTTCTACAAAGTAATTTTCTATGCTGAATTCAACTCTTTGATGATTAAAATCAGGCAATCTCAGCAGTTTTTTGAAAAAAAAAAAACAGTTTATTGTATCAAAGAAGGCACAAGGACTCTACCCACTCTTGTGCTAATTTTTTTCGTATGTCAGCCACTTGCAGAACAATGCAATTTTTACTACGTTGCTGGTTTTAATATAAAAAACCATTCCACCACTCACTCACCTTATTTGGTGTAAAAATAGGCAAAATTTCCGCACGCATTTGTTTCCACTGCACGCCTTTGGCAATGAATGGATTATAGCACACGATTGGATCACGTTTCTCATCTACCCACAGGACATTGTCTTGAAAATGCTGAAAGGAGCGTATCATCACTTCTTTAATCATCTCTTGGCTGCGAACTAATACCGCCGGCTCATTAAAAAGCCGATATATGCCAATGTAAGGCAGGTGTGGATGTGCACTTGGTTGAAGGAAAAAAAAAACAGATTTTTAATGCGCTAAAAAATTATTTCTCTTTCTCCTTTCCAATACTAACTCATAAATATTTTTATAAACATCACCGTAATGCCTGCGACCGAGGAAAAATTTCCACATATTTCCCAAAATTGGTAAACCGCGCGGCCCACGCACCCCATGCCGTTGCCAATAGCTGCATTTCCATAACAGATGAGCGCACAGCAGCATTGTCAGTGTTAGGCATAGCACAACGAAAACCATTTTTTATTTGATGATTGGAAATTAGAAACTGAAAAGTGTACTTTGTAAAACAAACGCGCTTTGTAAAGTTTATCTCTCGGCCGCAATAGCCCACAAGCTTATCGCCAGTAGGCCGTCACACAACTGATGGCAGAAATGCATTTGGGCTTTTTTAAATAAGAGCGAAAACTGATATCTTACATACATCTCTAGTTACATATGTAACGCGTGCACATTTATAAGGGTGTAAATATGCAATTTATGCATGCTGGAGAGTCGGAAGCTATGTATTTCAATTTTCTCAAATTTAGATATTTATACAAATCAACTAGTCTCGGCAGATCAGAAATAATTTTATGAACAAGCATACATACATATGTACGTGAAATTTACATCTGAAATTTATCTGCCCTTTAAACACAAATTTTGTTCTCAAAAAATCTTTATGAAAGGCATATTTATAAATTTTAAATTTTTAGAATTTTTGTCGGTCTGTATGTTTGTACGCGCATCACTGGAAAATTAATGCATGAAATTAAATGCACTTTTCACCGATGTATGTATTTCTAGAGGTCTAACTCAAAATATAGAAAGAAGAAAACTTGAGAGTTGCCACCTGTTTGAAAATTCCAGTTTAAGTGAATTGATAAGATAAAGTAAATATTGCAATATGAATGGCAAAAGAAGGGATTAAAGAAGGCTTAAGCCGAAAATATTTTTTGTGAGGTTGCCATATATTTTAAAATATTAATTTATTTTAATTGATAAGATAAGTTAAATATTGCGATTTGGGTATCAAAGTGAAGAGGCTTAGGAGAGTTGAGTGCCGAAAATATTTTTCAGGAGAGTTGCCACCTGTTTGATTTAATAAATGAAATATTAAAATACGAGTGTTATACAACACAAAAATTCTTTTAACTTGACTAAACAAAATTTTTCACGACACCAAAAGATGCTTTGCGAACTGCCCAAAATGCTTAGGAAATTAAAAGAAAAGGAACTTCAACTAATGCATAACTTTCATTTAATAATTTTTTCGCAATTTTTGAAAGGAGCCGCGTTCTTTGATTCAACTTCGTGATCGCGAATAGGATCAGGCAGTCTGCGTCCCAATTTCGTTAAAAAAAAACACAAAAATTTAAAATGTTTAAAAATAAAGTACGAAGGATAATTTTTTTTTTTTTTGTTATTTGTCGCATATTTTTTTACCTTTTTTTCAAAATATGCGCTCTGAGCGATCTCTAAATTTTTTGCGATTTCAAAATAAAAAACAGGGGAATCATTTATTTAAATATAAATTCCGACTTCACTTTTTTTTTTACCACCCTATTGCGCACACGCCGAACAAGTAAATCCAAGTAGATGTTTGCATATGCTTTGAAGGGACCAATTGTTCGCAAACGGGTATAAAAAGCGACTAGTAAATTTAAAAAAAAAATTAAAAATAAAAATTTGCACCAACTGCGATTCCAACGGAATACTCTCTTTAGAGATTAGTCTCACAATTCTTTGCAGGGTATGTACATGTACATGTAAATATGTATGTAGAGATGCAGTTTAATTGCTTTGTAATTTTATTTGTTACAAATCGTTAACATTCTATGTACATATGTACGTAGATGCATTCATAACTACTTAATTAAAACCATTCGCTTAGCAAGTGCTTGACGCTTAAAATTATCACATAATGCCACTCTGTGTGGAATTAACCTGTTCTAAAAAATAATTACTCTTTCAACGTACACCAAGCTGAATTGAATAATTGCAGCTTACTTAAATTAAAAGCTGACATCCATCTATGTAAATATGCTAATAGAAAAAAATAAATAAATAATCTAAAAAATATACCATCCAAAACAGATGTGCTATGTCCTTTTTATGCGTGTTTGAAGGAGATTTATCTACATTAATTGAAAAATAATGACATTTAATTTAATATTTTATTAATGTGTTTGCTAAGTATCATTTAATTGCTTGCATGCGCGACTATTTGCTTAAATAATTAGTAACCCAAATTCAAACACACGTGTCAATTTGATTATGCTAAGATTATGAAATTTACCAAAATATTCTAATTGCATATCATTTTCTAAATTATCTTGCAAACAAATATGTATTTGGAGTATAATTTCGTACACGTTATAAATTATGTCTATGCATAGTACAATTATGCACACATAGGCATAGCTAAATACAACCATACAAGAATGCAAACAATCCTCTTACATTCGAAATAACTGTTTTGATATATGTATGTATACATATAAATATGTTGCCTATAACTTTAATGTTTCGATATATGTTTGTATGGATATATTTTTTTAATATTGCGTCTCAGCTGGAAACTTCATTACTTCAATTGACGATTTCTCTTAGCTTAAGTGTGCAGGCATTAATGTTTGACCTCAGCACCAAGTTTTGAAGATATGAGTATTTTCTTTCCTCACATAATTTTCGCCCCAAAAAGGAGCACAGTCATTTCTAACCAGCAAGACGAGAACGGAATCCGGAAATCACAACATTTCATATCCTCTCTTTCCACTCACTGCAGGGGACTTAAGCGTGTAAATACTGTGTACACACATATAAAAGTACGCCTCTGTTTATGAAAAGCTGCAAATCACGATACAAAATTGGGCAAAAAATAAACAAATAATGACTTGCATATACGTGTATATATATCTTCATATATTGTATATTTGTAAGTACCTATACATTGTAAACCCGCAATATACCCGCACAATAAAAAAAAAAACGCAAAAACCTGAAAATCCAATAGGTTCTTGAATAAATAGTACATCTACAGTACTGTGTGGTAGGTAGCAACACTTGGATATTAGTGAACAAAGTTATCCTAGTTATATTTTTTCTGACTCTATCAAATTTTACATGGCGATTAATCATCCCAAAGGCAATCAGTGAATTGGCTGAGTACTGTCACCAGCAGAAAAATGTTGCTATCTAAATTTATTCTGCAGAGTGCTCTCTTTCTTCGTACTGTTATTAAAATGGCAACCCT